ATGGTCGGATTTTGTCAACATCAATAAAATGCCATATAATCATATGTAACTCATTAAATATCGAAATTAGAAGGAAAACAACTTTTGTTAGAAGCATTTTTCGAAATTTTGAAGAAAAAAATTTTACGTCAGAGTCAATACTTAATTAGATAAAAAATAGTTTACTTACATCTTGAGAGCGGTTTCCTCCCAAGTTTCTATCAGGACCGCCTCTGCCGCCTCCTCGACCGCCACGCATTCCACCGCGTCCCATTCCCATTCCCATTCCCATTCCACCTCCCATTGTTTCGTTCATTGTGTTATCCATACCACCGTCCATGGACTCGCTCATCTTCATCTGGAAGATTATAAAAAAGAATATTAAGAACCAATGCGATACGGCAGAAAAATCTATTTAGGGATTATATTTTCGTCAAGTATTCGGGAGGTTTTTTAATTAAAATTGATTGAGCGTGTACGCCACGTGCACAGCTGAACATATTTTTACGTTCCTCCATTTTAATTTCCGCTCGCGCCATTTTGTAACTATTCTGAGAGAAATCGATACGTTAATAGATTTCTGTTTCCAATTAGTTAGAAAATTTATTAAGAACAACGCTATTAGATTTTATATAGTTTCACTGAAATTCATACGATAATCAAACGTAATTACCTGATATCATTCTATTCTTTCTAAAACAGCACGAGGTACTTACGTTCAATAAGAAAAACGCAATTTTCATGTTGAATATATTAGAAATAGCATCATATCATAACATTAATAGAACCGAAGCATCAATGAACTTAAAGAAAAGTTCGAAGCCCGGGGAAAAGTACTACGCATCAATTTGCAGCAAATATGGCGGCAATTACAGTGGATGGCTTGGGAGAATTGGGTGCAAGGTATAAAATTCTTACCGGTCCATCGTTATTTCTGTTTCCTCCACCCATTCCGCCTCCACGTCCAGAAAAACGTGTTCCTCCTTTTCGACCACGCTGTCCACGATTACCGCCGCCACCGCCACCGCCGCCGCCGCCGCCGCCGCCACCGGGTGCATTGCGTTCTCGTGGATTCTCATTGCTATTCTCCGCGGGTGCGTTCTGTGACTCTTGTTTCACGTTCGGCGACTCGGTCCCCGCCATTCTTCGCTTGAGATTTAACTCGAGTGCTTAACTTACCGAGAGCCAAGTCGTTCACGCACAAGCCTCACACTCTCCCGAATTGTCCTAGCGAACGATGTGCTCACTATGGCGTCCAACGACGGAGAGAATGGAGACGCAAAGTTGCGCACGTACTCGCCAGGAAGAGCGACCCCACTCTTCGTCATCATTTCCGGTCCGTCCATCACGACCTCGTCGCTCCGAGGTCACCATTGGTCAGATAAAATAATTGTATATACGCGATTGGGTAATTCGAACGAATAAGATTAACCGGAAATGACATACCACAGATTTCTTTTATTTTTCATAGTAGTATATATGCATAAAGCATTTGTATATATATGTATCAAACCAAAGTTGTAGTTCCTGGGATCTTCAGACCTGTTTATTTAGAAGATTAGATAATTAAACGTTGGAATAATTAGGCGAAAGCAATAATCGACAATTTTCCCAATTCAACTTCAATCTAAGTCGAACTTAACAAAAATGGTGGTTTCCTATAAAACATATCAAGCAATGTATGGAAAATACGCATAGCGAATTCGTTTCTCTCCATTCATCGTTGAATCATAAAATTCTTTCATCTCGTATCTGGTATCTCCTTTTCTTATTGGTCATGCGATAGTTCACGTCCAGTAAACCAGAGCGGCCAGAGGCCTAAGTAATAATAAAGAGAAATTGACAAAGGAATACATTCCTACATCGTCAATTATGTGTAATTTATAAGAAAACGTGTGTTACGTGTAGTAATACGTTCAGTAGATAGATTCTTCATGTACGATTAACATGACATTTGTCGTCTGCATCGATACGATTATATCTCCACCGTCCATGAAGGCTTGGTTTCCTTTCTTTGCCGTTCAGTCGAATGGGTTGTAAACAGAGGTAGCATTGGACAGCATGTGCAATTGCTATATTTGTTTATAGGTCATCGGTCGGTCAAAACATTGTAATCGTAATTGCATACACCATAGTCGAAGGTAGACTATTCTCCTATTATCACTTTCACTCGTGGATACAGAAATATAATTTCGTGTCACATAAGCAAAGAGTCCCGATTGGGAGAGTGTTAATTGTTTAATCGCAAAAGAAGGGACAGTGAAATGTTGCAGTTAATAAACCTTCCTGACATTGTTCTGGAAACAATCTTATCCAACCTTACATACGATGAAATTTCTCGATACAGAATAGTAAGAAAATCCTTGCTTCCTTATATCATATGCTAATTAATAATTATCGAAAATGATATGCTGAATCTTTTGAAACATTGCATCAACAGGTTTGTAAGCAATTCGATCGAATATGTAAAAAGTTGTTGAACCGAGGTTTCAATTTAATGGAGAAATATCACGCGCAATGTTTACGTGCAGTGAAGAGTCAATTACCAAGAAGAGAGTCGGAGAGAAGAAGCCACCCACTGGCACGTCATTGTGATATATTAACAGCAATTGAAACTAGAATATCGATGCTGTCCATGACTTTTATAAAATACGTCGACCTTAATCTATGCTGTTTTATACCTGGCAAGGTAAGGTATTTACTTACGACTGTTTTTCATGATTTCGTTAATATAGGATGTATGGGTATTAGGTAATAGACGAGATCTTTCGAGTCCTCCGTCTGGTCAGAGATTTGAAAACGCCACCCAGAGCCCATGAGATACTTCAAGAGCTGCGAGACATTAGCAGCATGGCTATGGAACATTTCGATGAGAAAATTTTACCAGATTTAAAGCACAGTATTTGTACGTCGGTGATCAGCAACACAGGCTCTTACGAACTGCCTGGTGGGAGTTTAATGATCTCCCATCACGCCACGAATCCGAGCAACGCGACACTGCCACATACTTATAGCTTAGACAAATTGAACCAGGCTTTTAAGAAAATTAATACACGTATCAAAAGAAACAAGTCGTGCGTTTCCACGGTGAAAGATCAGTTGAACAAGATGAAGCTCAGGATGAAGAGGCAGGGACTCCAGATGAGATTACAAACTCTGAAGTTGCAGGAACAAGCGAAGAAGATGCATGACCAAGATACTCAGTTAGCTGAGATGAGGAAGCATCTCGAGGAATGGGAGCAGAAGATGGTCGATTTAACGGCAGAGCTGAGCCGCGCTCGGGAAGAATCACAGAAGCCTGTAGATTCTATAGAAACTTGCAAGAGGAAACACATAGATATTATTAATCAGAGAGAGGCTGATTCTTTGCAAACGAAAGATTTGCAAGCTAAAAAGCGGAAACTGATAGTAGAGAGAATATCGTCTACCGATGCGAAAGATGTGAAATTTAAAAAGTTCATGACTGATCTTCTCGCGGGCAACCCTTCGACCTCGCATTAACTTTTCGTTTTGTACAAATTGCTTTTAGAAACGACACTACAAGCTCCTAGCATCGACACGCATTAACGCTAGGGGCATGGAGTTGAGAGTTCACAGCCGGTTGTACATATTAAAAATTGTACATGAAGAACAGAATTCTTATTCTATACGTATTTTCCATTTTTTATGTTACAATTAAATCAATCTACATGTTTAAACTTCTTACGTATTTAAATCGAATGAATCATTTTTATTACGTGATATAATGATTACAGTCAATCACGAATTTCCGTTATACATATGATACGTATATATAAAAGACGAATTGTTATAATCGTTTATCTTCCTTCTGCTGTATGTTACCAAACGAACATGCAATTAAATGTATCGGTGGAGAAATCATAACTGTGTGCTTTAATACGACATACATTATTTTAAGTATACATACTATTAACTCTGCATTATATAGATTAAAATTATTAGATCTCAAAGACAAATGTTTAATTTACTTATTTTTATTTACAAAAGTAATTTCATTTAATAATGTGGCCACTATACTACGTAAAATTTTATGTAAAATTAGTGACAATAAATTATTGATAAGAAATCCAAGGCCCGTGTATCTAAAAATAGAATCCTTTCGAGTCCGTTTAATACGATTTTATAAAATCTGCACGATAACATAAACAGTTAAGCGAAATTGTCGTAAAAAATGATAAGAGCAAAATTATACGTACTGAAATAATATTTGATATAATATTTTCCACCAATGTTTCAATGTCGCTTAAAGGCGATATGCGCGAGGATTTTAATTCTGTTTCCGTGACGTATATCGTCGAACACTTTTTCAATGGGACCACTGTTTCATCTTTGTCCTGTTTCGTGTAATATGCATTTTTATATATTCTATCCAACGAGTGTGTCTCCTCGGCGGATGGCAGATTTAATAATTGTTTATAGATCGTGGCATGAGCGTTTTGTAAATATGCCTGCTGTTTGTCTCTTATACTTTTTCGTACAGCATTCTTTTGTACTTCAGGCAATACGAAATTGTAGACCATGCTAGCTACCATTTCTTCTTCGGCTAATCTTGTAGCACTGAAGCGAAGATACGTCGGTTAATGAAATGTTTCAAATTAATCTAATGTTCGTGTCATACTTTTCCTGAGCCTGTACTGCTACAGCGTCTACTTTATCGCAGAGCTTCGAAATGTACTCTTTACTTATTTCGTCGGACACCCATTCGACCCCTTCTTTTATTATATCTTCCAAGTAACACTCTACAGACTCTTGATTAACTTTTATAATCTGTCTGAACATCTCGTCGAACTCCCTGCGACGATTATATTCGAGTTGACGCCTGCCAGCCTCTGCCGCCTCCCTCATAGCTCTCTCTCTTTCAGCTAACAACGCGAAAGCGTGTATACGACGTTCGTCTTCTAATCTCATTAATTCCTTGAAAGGTAGCCAGTAAAAAACAATAGATTATAGACGCTAGATTATTCCGAGTCAGATCGAACAGTACTTTGCTCAAGAAGTCTAGCATTGCCGATATAGTCGCCCCTTCCAACGAGTTAAGAATTTCACACAAACGATCTTCGTACAACGCTTTCTCAGTTTGCAACTGTTGTAATTCTAATGTACGCGTCTGGTGCTTGCGATGCTTCTTTTTGCTCTGGTCCTCTAGAGCATAAGACGACTGCAATTCCTCGATCAATTCTCTGCACCTGTTGCGTCCTTCGAACATCTGAAAAAATCATTTAAACATAAAAATCGAATTGACGATGCTCGACGGGACATGATTACCATGCACTGAATAGCTCTTCCTCTAATTATCTTTTGTATGTGAGTAGAGAACTGATCTAGACGCGCGTATGCAGGTTCTTCTGTGCGTTGCACGAACGGTGTAGGAGGCAGGGGAGGTAGTTTATACCTGCGTTTTAATAACGTCGACGACTCTATCACCTTATCGTCTACTCTGAACTCTCTCAAGTCAGAATGTAACTGGCTGAGCTTCTCTTTCGTCCATCTCGTTGCTCGGATGCAAAGATCGGCCGGCTTAGGTTTCGGCTTTATCACGTCCAATTCTTCCTCGGTCGGAAGCCAACTTGGCAAAGTGACCAGTTCATCGGCAGCTGAAGTAATCGATATAAGAAATAGTAGTGTAACAAAAATTACAGTTTTCATATGAACAGGTATATCTTTACTTTCAATGTAACTTTCTCCCAGTAATTCCTTCCGTATTACTGCGTGCCTTCGTTGAGGATGTTCCCCGTGACGTATTTGAGGCGCGTACAACTCGGAAGCTGGATCGGCGTGCTCTCTAATTATGTCACGTTTAAACGGCAGTTGTTTTTCACGATATTTCTTATGCAGCTTTCTCAATTCCCTCCGAAGTTTATGCTTGATAGAGTCTACTTGTTTGTCTCTGCGCATTGATAACAGATTCGTCAATCTATCGAAACGGTCTTGTATCTTTTTCTGCTTTTCATGCTCCCGCGATCTAGTCAACTCGTCCATTAACTCGAGTCTATAATCCATTATTGCTTGAATCTCCTGTGATGAAATTTTTAATAAATACCTTTAGATAAACGTGATTAGAATGTTTCGTAAGTGAATAATTACAGATTCCCTGAACGCCCATTCATCTAATTCCATTTCGTTTATCATAGCTGTACGTTTCTTTATATTAGCCGACGTGTCCATAGGAGGGAGAGTAGCTTCCCATTCTTTCTTTCTCTTCATTCGGTTAATAACTTCTAATTCGTGCAGGCTGATCTCAAATCCATGATTCCAAGTCATATGCGCGATTGATAGTATCTCAGGATTTTGTCCTGGAAAACGAACAATTAGTTTGAAGAAAGAAATATGGATTGCGTTAACTGTAGTCTTTACCTGATTTAATTTTATACGGTGGTTCCCAAGGGAGAGTTTGTGCTTCGCTATCCCGATAATCTGTCTGTGTTCCAATGTTCCTATACGGTTCAGGCTTAGGTGAAAACGCGTAGCATTGCCTCTGCGCGTTTGTCACAACATCGTTTAGAATACTATAATTAAAACGCATAGGGATGTCCAAGTTTCGTGTGGACGATACTAGAAACGGTACTATCGGCCGACGAAGGTAATTGTTCTCATTGCAATAGCCCAGTTTCGTTGATCTATGACCTTGTCCAGCCATTATCCTGTGTAAGTATTGTACGTAAGAATAATCATGCATACTCCAAGTTCTTAAATAATTTCGTTCTCGTTAACATAAACACTTTACCTGCAAAGTATTGTAACATTAGTTTATTATTTCTCTAAGGTATCAACTGCTCGTTTAACTTGCTTAAACTCTGAAACCCAGTTCTCCTTCTCATTTCTGCTTTGCCCTTTCACACTACGTTTTACACCTTTTTCACTACTTCTATACAGAGGCGCAATGTTCTTGCATATTTTCTGTAAAAAGAATATATTTATGTACATTCTATAGAAACAGGAGTGATGAAGTGATACAAGGAAACTGACAACTGTACATATTTCCGGTGCTGAAGGTAGTTGTGCATCAGGGTGTTTAAATTTTGGCTGGGTACCACATGCAGTGTAAGAAGGGGATTCTGTGCACGTAGAAATAAATTAATTAAGTAATTAATAATAGGTGTACTGCGTGTACTTACGGTTCAATATCAGCCTCTTAGCCATGGTATTTGTAAGTGAATTATTTGTAACTGGATTTCAGTATAAATTACATCCTTCAATTTCTATTCGTCAATTGACTTTCATTTGAAAGACTGTATCTTCAGAAGGAAAATGTTTGACACTAGCCCCTTTGTTAAATAATCGTGTCAAGAAGATATATTGATCAAACACCTAATTTCACAGTGATTCTTATTATATCTATAGCTAGTTCTGTCGTAGCTAAATTTGTGGCAATGAACTCTAATGAAACTGCATTTAATGTAAGATTTATTTCATATATCATGAACATTTTACACGTA